AGGTGAGAATAACTATTTGACTGATTTTTACTTGAGATCCTGAGATATGTATGTAAGCGATCTCATTTGTACAAGTCATTATTCTATAATTGAAATGCGTAAAGTAAATCAGTTTTGGCCAATATTGGTTATTTGTTTATATTTTATTTAGTGTTGAAGCCGAACAATTTCCTTCAACATCAGGTAAGCTTTGTACAAGTTTTATACACAGACTCCATTTATCATTTTTCAGTCTCAAATATTTAGCTGCAAATTTGTTTACTGTGTTTTTCACCAAATCTTTGTTTTTCTTTTTAATAGTGTTTGTGAATGACTATCAGAGTTCGCCATTTAACAATAGCGCGATTCTAAACAAAAACAAACGACTGCAAAGGATCTCGGATGGAAATGGGCCTTAAAATCCTGAATTTTACTTGCAATAAAACCCCCGAGTGATTTAACAGCAAGAAAAGAGCTAGAACCACGTTTTTTTCATTGGTGGCAGCCTACCTGTTCGTCTACTCCTTACAGTAACCGTAGTGTGTGCCGACGTTGATCGTTCGATTTGTGATCATTTATTCAACGTGGTGGCTTGTGTCACCCTTTCAAGCCTTTCAATTTTAAGATAGTCACAAAGAATATTCATAGAGAAGGGTGGATCGAAGGGTGGTTTATTTTTTAGCACGTCTTAAGAGTGATGGGTATTGTTTCGCTGTGAGCCCTGTTTCCTTTAATAGGTAGAAAATGGGTAGACGTGGATAAAAAATTATAGCAGGAATATCATACGATTTCACGGTCGGCACATGAAAAATTGTTGGTCTTGTTGACGTAGAGGTAAATTATAAGGGGTTCAAAAGTAATGGATGGCTTATTGCGTTTACAATTTCATTTTTTTTAGTGGAAGCAAGAATCTACATCACTCTAAAAATGCTGGATCAATTAAGAAGCGTTGCATCGTGACTCATCTAAATGCATCTGTTACCAAAGCTTTTTCCCGTTTCTTTTTTGTTCTATCTGTTACTGTGCCTTTTGGGCCTTCAGTTTACCCAAGTTATTTGTCGTATTACACTATGAAAAGGGCTTAAATAATCCTATTTATAGCCTCATTATGTCCGTGTGGGGCCAGGTGACATACGTTCCTTAGAGCCGGACTATGATACTCCAGTGTTTGGCATGTGTATTGCTAGCTAGGGATGCTTAGCACGACTGACTCACGTGTACGAAGGCGGAGTTGTGATATCGAACCGGTAGAATCGGAAACAAAAATATAACAATCAATACAACCTCTGGAATGCAATATCTGTTTTTTGTTATTTAAAAGGAGGAGGGAAAAATTTACCCGTAGGAAACCAAAAAATCCATGAAATTAACAAATCACGTTCTTCAACAAAGGAAAGAAGCATCTGCAGTCACAGTCTACCAGTAGTTGTTACAGGTATACCAGCCTTTCCATGCATTGAGTCACAAGAGCAAACTACCAATGGAAAGCATTGTTATTCTTTGAATTAAAAGATTTGACGACTTAAATGTTTAAAAACCTCATGCGTCACGATCTTAAATCCAGTTGTTGTTGTTGTTCACTTATATGTCATAGAAACGCTCAGTATGGGTCGTCAAATCAGGGAAGCTGTTCTTTTCTCTGGACCTAGCAGAGTTCATAGACACGTTTTTGGATTAAATGCTGTTTTCAAGGGCACATTTTCAATGGTATTTCCTATGTAACTGGGATTACATTTACACCGGCCTTGCTTCACTGCACTCTCTGTGTGCCTAAGTAATCCGCGCGTCCTTTGTCCTTCAATCCACGCTATTCCGTGTGACCTCTCATTGCCTCTTTTTGTTAATTACATTTTCTCTGATTGGCTGTTGTAATTACTTTGCTTTGCGCTCTCAGAAACGTACATTTTGATGAAAACGGTGTTGCAATTCCCCCATTAAGTAGTATTTCTAAGATTATCGTTTCATGGAGTATCAGTCCCTTCGTCTCAGGAAACGGTGGACTTTTAACACAGCGCACGGCTCTTTAACACGGCGCGAAAGTCGAGTAATCACCTGATACCTTAACCAAGGTATTTGCTGAGACATAACCAGGTTTTCATTAAGACCGTAATGAAAATAAATGGCTTGCACACGCGTGATGGCACACTTCGCTCGAAACTGACCGTGAAGAAAAAAGTTTTGGATGCGTAAATTTCGCGTGATATGAATTTTTAAGGTCTCCCTTCCCTGGTGGCACCACCCTTTTCGACTGTTTGCTCCCAGCATCATGAAGAAGCAGTAATATGCTACCTTTTAGTAGAACCCATTTGGTTCTGATCAAGCCTATTTCAGGCTCTCTGTCAGTACAAGGATGAGAGGTTGAAGATGAGCGGACGAAGAAAACAGAAAACGGAGAAGTCATTTAAAGTTAAAAGCGGACCGATTTGTAAGGTTTTCCTATGCTTGGGACTGCTCGATTTGGTATCAATTTTCGGATTTGTTTCTTTCCTGTTGTTTTTTCACGACCACGACAGTCCACAGCCAACTCCGGAACACCAATATCTCTCGTTTGCAACAGACTGAGTTACTTCCTCCTCACCTGTTCTGTTTACCGCCAGTTGTGGCTACACACTACCACGGAACTGTTCCATATTTTTCTTGTCTATCTTGCACCTGACCGTACGGCGGCCCACAGGGGCATTACAAAAATATTTATCATGATATATATTCCAGTACAAAAAAATTAATTGCAGTACAAAAATATTTATCCCGGTACAGCAATATTTATCCCAGGACAGAAATATTTATTTCAATACAAAAATATTTATCACAGTACAAAGACATTTATCCCAGTACAAAAACATTTTTTCAGTACAAAAGTATTTTCCCAGTCTCTTTACTTGTCATTATCCCGACAGTAATTGTGACTTTTTTTTCTGGCTCTAGTTTGCGTTTCTTTGTCTTGTTTCTTGATTTTGCTCGAAAAAACGAGCTTCCGTCGGACCCCTTTTTAGCTTTGGACGACTTAAGGCTTGGCAAAGAAAATTTTCTCGTCTTCGGCGAATCCGGCGCTTTAGTGGTGTTGCTTGTAGACGTTGCGGGTGATGCTACAAGAAAAACCTCTGTGCCACTTTTCGGGCATTACCTGTAAGCTGGATCCACGATTTTGAAACTACAGCAATGGCAAAAAAAGCTACCCGCCAAAGGTGCCGCCATATTTAACCTGTGGGAGATTACTTCCCACTCCCCACTTGCACTGGGATAAATAGTTTTGCACTGGGATAAATAGTTTTGCACTGGGATAAATAGTTTTGCACTGGGTTCCTTTAATAGGTAGAAAATGGGTAGACGTGGATAAAAAATTATAGCAGGAATATCATACGATTTCACGGTCGGCACATGAAAAATTGTTGGTCTTGTTGACGTAGAGGTAAATTATAAGGGGTTCAAAAGTAATGGATGGCTGATTGCGTTTACAATTTCATTTTTTTTAGTGGAAGCAAGAATCTACATCACTCTAAAAATGCTGGATCAATTAAGAAGCGTTGCATCGTGACTCATCTAAATGCATCTGTTACCAAAGCTTTTTCCCGTTTCTTTTTTGTTCTATCTGTTACTGTGCCTTTTGGGCCTTCAGTTTACCCAAGTTATTTGTCGTATTACACTATGAAAAGGGCTTAAATAATCCTATTTATAGCCTCATTATGTCCGTGTGGGGCCAGGTGACATACGTTCCTTAGAGCCGGACTATGATACTCCAGTGTTTGGCATGTGTATTGCTAGCTAGGGATGCTTAGCACGACTGACTCACGTGTACGAAGGCGGAGTTGTGATATCGAACCGGTAGAATCGGAAACAAAAATATAACAATCAATACAACCTCTGGAATGCAATATCTGTTTTTTGTTATTTAAAAGGAGGAGGGAAAAATTTACCCGTAGGAAACCAAAAAATCCATGAAATTAACAAATCACGTTCTTCAACAAAGGAAAGAAGCATCTGCAGTCACAGTCTACCAGTAGTTGTTACAGGTATACCAGCCTTTCCATGCATTGAGTCACAAGAGCAAACTACCAATGGAAAGCATTGTTATTCTTTGAATTAAAAGATTTGACGACTTAAATGTTTAAAAACCTCATGCGTCACGATCTTAAATCCAGTTGTTGTTGTTGTTCACTTATATGTCATAGAAACGCTCAGTATGGGTCGTCAAATCAGGGAAGCTGTTCTTTTCTCTGGACCTAGCAGAGTTCATAGACACGTTTTTGGATTAAATGCTGTTTTCAAGGGCACATTTTCAATGGTATTTCCTATGTAACTGGGATTACATTTACACC